ATGGATCAGTAGCGGAGTCAGGAGAACAAGCAGAGTCCAACAAGGATGCCAGCCATGAAGGAAGAGAGACTGACCCCTGTGATCCCTTAGCTTTATACTGAGGATGACATGGATGGGATGGAATACCTCGTTGGTCAGTTTTTAATCATCTGTCCTGTCTGTACTTTTCCCCAGGTGCGACCCTTTTACGCCTTTTTATTTGTGGACCGTAAGAGAGCCAGCAGTGACCTTGGTTCACACAGGAATAAGTATAAGTGTGGGCCTTTCTGCATACCAATCCTACTGTTACCTTAGTAACAACTATACACATCAAGCGTTACCAATTCCAAAAGCAGACACTGTCTGAAAAACATGTAGCCAACTTCAGAAAGTGCAGTTACCTAGAAGAAACTTAACTGAAGGAAAATTTAGTGAAAGGAGGATTGGTCCTATTTTAGCCAAACCAGGACAGACTTTTATCAGGAATGTAATGGGAAGTCTGTGACATCTCACTGAGTGTAGTTAAATGCCTTATGAGAGTTGAGCAGACCAAAAGATTTTTAAGGGCAGGAAGGAACTTTGACGTTATTCTGGTGTTAGCACCTTCTGTCTTAAACAGCATGTTTAAAAACACTGCTACTAAATGGAACCTGCCCAAAACATGGATTGAAATGAGTTTGGCCTATTGAAATTTTAAATGTAAGCATAGGTTTGTGCTGCTTTGTTGCCTCTTGCTGCAAAAGAAACCCGTGTAGTTGCAGGTGAATGTCTCTCCTAGAACTGAAGATCACTTTTTCCTCTAAATTATCTTCCATTTCACCACCACTCGAAGTAAGGATCGCTTAAACAATAGTGGCTATAAAAGAGAAATCTAAAATTGTAATAAAGTTGGTAACATTGGGTATAAAATATTGCTCTCTTGGCCTTGAACAGATGTAATTTGAAGTAGGAATAAGGCATTTTCTGTAATGTGTTCCAGTCCCAAGAGGAGGTATCTAGGAATAATGAAATTCCATGGTCATGTAAAATTTACATTAACACGAGTGCCGTGCCACCCCACCCCCACCCCCCCCTTAATTTTGGCCCTAGTGTCCATGTAATTAGAAAGCTTTCGAAAGTGACCGCTGAGCAATATATATGGCAGTAGTGTCCTAAGGCAAGCCAGCTGGCCTGCAGGAACCCAAGAAGGCACAAGAGCATGGAAGAGGAAGTTACCGGCAGGGAAAGCAAGATGCTCTCATGGCCATCTTTGTGAACTCTTGGGGACTATGTTACATCAAGTAAGTTGTCTGTTAGATTTCTCTTCCTTAATATAACGCTTAATGAACTCTCTTGAATCTTTCTTACAAACATAAATAATTCAGAACCCAGGCATCACAGGGATGTGAAAAGTCTGAGTTGCCTCTGTAAGCATCACTGTGGATCACCCTGCTGAGTGTTGCTAATGCTCCTGGCATGCTGGCCAATCATTCCTCCTCCCTTGGGGTTTACTAGTAACTTCCTTTTTCCCAAAAGGCGCAGAGCAATGCATGGCACTGTCAGGCTTCACTGACCTCTTCTGCTCTGCGTTGCACAGGGAAATACTGCACTTTCTTTGCTGAAGGGGAAAACAGGCAGTGAGGTTTAAATGGCCAGAGGTGGTGTTGAAAGCTTGGGTGGAGCCAGACAAGCCCCACTTTTGTCTATTGAGTAATATTGCCCTCCTCTGATCTATGCACAGATCTCAAATTTTGGACATGGAGAATTCATGGTTTGATGGTCTCAGGTGCATCTCAGTGTGCACAGCGAGACTGCATGACTCTCAGCTGGCTTAAGGCCTTCTGGACCTCTGTTAAATGCCACGAAGACTGATATTCTTTTGGGAGCGCAGAAATGAGAAGTTACATGTTTCCAGAAGATTGCATTGGGTTAAAGATTAGGTCATTTGCATCTGTTAATGCAGTGTGGGTGCAGCAGAGTGGGTGGCGTGGGTGTCCGCAGGCCGACTGGAGCCGCCTTCTCTGGCTGAGTGCTTACACTTGGAGCTGTACTTAGGTCTTCTCAGTTCTCTGCATCCTGATGGTTCCTTATGCCCTGACACGGTGCCTCCTCCTGCTCAGCCTGTGCCTGACAGCTCAGCGGAGAGGGGGTATTTTTTATACCTTTGCTACAATAAAACACACATGTTGGACATTTCTAACATGCTTTACTGAACTTGTGATTATAAAGGTAATTTACAATAAAGCAATTAAATAAACAATAAGTTAAAACACAATACATTTATACATAGTATTTCAAAGGGCTTGAAAGACTATTGGTTTCCTATACATTAAGACTTTAAAACAACGTTAAGATTCAAAGTGTACCCATGCCTATACTTATCATTGTAACACATTTCAAGATTCCAAACAACGTACATTTTTGGTTACAATCCCCGTATACGCACAAGACCAGTGAAATGCTCGAGCAATTGTACGATTGAGAAGAGCACTACACAAGACAGGCACGAACGATGTGCTGGAAGCTGCCCAGGGAATATGGGTTTTAACTCTAAATTGAATTGACACTTTGGACAACAAATGGAAAGCGCTAGCATGCTTTCTGGAGCACGTGATACCCTTAGTGGGAGCGAGTCTCTGTGTCACTTACTTAACACTGTAGTTTCACAAATGTTTTAGGTTAGTGCCGCCTGAAGAAATACTCCACCTTTCTCTGGCCACTTGTTCCTGTGTGCATCTCGCACTACCCTTGAGCCAGTGCAAAGCGCTCGTACATTTGCTCGGTGAACCAGCCAGGGAGAGTGACTGAGCTTAATGCTAACTCAGCAAACGAACATGAAAGAGCGCTAGCTGTAATCTCCTTGATTTCCCTGGTCATGCTCACTGTGCAGATGCAATGGCACCAGAAAGACACCAGCACAGGGGAGGAACACAGTGGCCGGGAGCAGGAGGACTATTTCTGTAGGCAGCAGTACTGTTAAAAACACCAGATAAAAACATCTTGTGGAACTACAGGGTTCAGCTTTTTATTTTGAAACAAGGAGTATGCTTTCGAACCGATTTATAGTGCAAATCAAATAGTCAAAAGCAAAATGATGGACTCTGCCAGGATATACAACAACTTTTTATAATCTATATCATCCTTCTTTCTCTCTGCCTCACACAGTTTGTGCCCAGGGACAGAGTAGATTTTAGGTTTTGATATTGAAGGGTGTACGGCGTAAAGAGTGCAGGGCCACCAGGCAGCAACCACGAAGCAATGCTCCGATATTGTAAATGGGATCTGTTCCTCCTCTCTGAGTACTGAAAACCCACATGATAGTTGGTACAACAGGGGCTGCTACAGCCAGAACATCTCTGAGGAGACTGCTGCTCCAGTAGCTCCTCTTTATTCCTGTCTGAGAGAAAGTATTGACATACCCAAAGGCTTCATCATCATGAGGTTCTGTAAAATCAAGTTCTTTCATGAAATGGTTTTCATTAACTCCGTGCTCCACCTTCCTGCATGGAGACTCCATAGGAGACAAAAGGATGGCAGAGTTTGGATCACTTGGAGTTAAATCCACTACGATACCAGAATCACTGAAGCTTCCAAGAGAAAATTCACCCAATTCCTTCAGTGAAGAAGGTGGGCTTAGAGGACAGGCATCTTGAGCTCTGAAGATGTTTTGAATAAGCTGCTCCACATCTAGGCTATATGGCACCACGTCCGTCTGGACAGCCTGTTCCACCATCATGTTGCTGCTTTTCTCCTCCTCCTGTGAAGAAGTTAGTTTTTCATCCAGAACATTTTCAAGCATCTCTTTATTCACAGCAGAACTGGAGGGAGCTCGATCACTCAACTCAGAGGTTGTGGTGGTCAAACTCTCTTCAGATGAATCTGTCCCGTTAGCTGTGTCCTCATTAAGAAGCAGCCCACTATCTGCCACCTCCTCCAGAGCCTGGTCCTCTGTGATGAGGCTGCCTGGCATCGTGGCACACAACGCAAACGGCTTCCCCTCTGAGTCACACATGTACTCCAGGCACTGCTCATCCCTCACAGAGCTGTTCTGAGCCACCTCCATGCTCTGGAGCAAAGATTCCAGTTTCTTGTTTTGAATGTTTATGTCTATGAAGTATTTCTGAATTTTTTTGTCTTTCTCAGCCAAGCTGTTTTTCATGGTTTCAATAACCTGCTTCAGTTGTTTAATTTCGCTTCTTGCTTCCTTTAAGGCCAGCTCTGCCTCCACACGACTACACTCTTCTTCAATCCAGTCTTCCCTCATCCGTCCCAGCTGAGCTTTGAGCTCTTGTATTTCTGTTTCCCTGTAGCAAAATAAAAATGTTGTAATGCTTCTGCTGACTGGTCAGTTAAAGAGTCAACGTGAGGCTCCACCGCACTGGGATGGCTATGCTGCAGAGATGCTCTAAGAAGGAAGCAAATTCCTCCATGCACCATTTGCTGCCGCCTCTGAGCAAGCTTGCAGAGATGTAAGCTGGCTGCCAAGACACGGAGGCTGATTGCTAACCAGAGTCACCGACCTTGCCACAGAGCCAGCAGCCTTGTGGGCTATGCCACGGTCCCGGACATTTTGAGGCCCAAGTGGTGACCTCTAGTTAGGTCCAACCAGGACAGCGCTTAACATCTCACCCACTGCCTCGCCCTGGACAAAATGAGAAACAGCTGCCTGGATGCATCCCCCATGCCTGCCGGCAGCTCGTCAGGTACGGCCAGAGCCAACCCTGGGCTCAGACAGCAGGACGGCTCGGGGCTGCAATCACCCGGCTTGCTTTGCTCGCTGTGGAGCCAGAGGCTGCTGCCTCAACTTGCAAGCAAGCGCGGAAAGGGGGCCCCTACGTGAGATCCAGCCCTTACAGATGCAGAGGTCGGGCTATCCCGAGCTGGACCACGCGGTCCCTGGGACTGTGCCTTGGGGCTCCATTCAAACACCCCTTTGTGCCCGCTTGGGTTGTGTGTGCTGGACAGCCTGCTCTCAGAGCACGGTTTTAGTAAAAGAGACGACATCTGTTGCTGTGTAATGTGCATTGTCACTTCTTTGCCCCGCGTCCATACAAAGGGCTATTGTGAAAAAGTCAATATCTACGTGACAAAAACACAAGTGGGCACAGGGGTTTGTGTAAGAGCTTTTCTTTCATTAGGGGAGAAGGGTGACATTTGTAGTCATATTTCACCGAGTGAGGTAGAACAGGAGACTGAGGTAATACATGCTGGCAGGTAGAAGCTGTTTATGTATAAAAGGTCTCAATGCTAAATCAGACTGGTAAAAAATTATCCTTTAAAAATATTCTATTGGGAAAGTTAAAAAAAGGGAAAAGGACGGGCATATTCATAACTAAACTGCATGGTTTGTATTCACTGAGCATGCTATGAAACCTGAAATACCTGAAAACAACCTAATCAGACTGATCATATTTCAAATGTCTTAATGAACAATTTATGTGGTCAAGAAGTAAGTAAAAACGTTCAGGATTCCCACCTCTAGATGCTCCTGAACAAATGTTTCTAACTCTGATTTCTGAAGTGAAATATACCTTTCTTTAAGTTTGGTCTCAGATTCCTTCAGCTTTGTTTTCAAATGCCGTACTGTAACTTCTTTCTGCTGCAGAGGAGTCAAATACTGCTCTGGATTTTGTGGCTTAATGCTGTGATTGTCACCACAAGAATTGTATCTCCCTGATCGCCTGAAAAGAAAAAAAAAAAACCATCACATAACATCACTCCTACAGTTCTTCAGCCTTGGCAAAAATGAAAAAACAGCTGATTTGTGGCTATAGTGCAAAATTTACTATTTACTGTACTTGGTTTCAGTGCCATTACATCAAATGAGACATTTAACTTTAAAATACCTAGCCATCCCCTTACCCGAGACGGGTGGCGTGCCCAAGAGCCGGCAGCTGCGGCAGGGCAAGGGCACCCAGCTGTAGACATGCTCAGGTGAGGCAGCGTACGGGCTGCGTTCAGCTCCCACACTGGAGTTATGAAGCTGAGGACCCTGAAACCTAGATTAACCTTATCTAGCTTTAGGTGTGCACCTGCCACGTGGATGCTGGGGTGCCTGAGAGAGAGAGGGAAACAGCAGCAGCGTGGTGGCAGTTTCTTCTCTGCAACACGCATCGCATGCTCTGGCAGGTGTCTCTTTTCTTTCAGGTACAGGAAACTGCACAGGGAGGTGCCTAAGGCTGGGCAGGGTGAATTTTCACCCAAGTGTATAATGTTTTCTATACTACCCCATCCAACTCTCTCCAAAATGAAAGGACCCTTATACCAAAGAACCAGTAATTCCACATGAGAATCGATGGCATGAAACCATATGAAGGAGCTTGTCCTGGTGTGAAAACCAACTACAATGACTAAAAGTAACCTTGAATTTTACAGTGCTGAAACAGTAAAGCTTTTACATGGGATGGAGTGCCGTGTTGACTGTCAAGCCACCAACATGAGGAGTCACACCTATGCTGAGGAGCAAGGTGACCTGCTCGGCAACCCAGACAGCTGATCTCACGTTACAGTGCAGAGAAGGTAAGTCAGTGCGCTGAACACCGGGATGCTGAAATAAAGACTTGCCTCATCACCGGGCTGCTGTCGCTTCCTTTGTATGAGCCTGAGTTGCTGCTGCTGGCTGAAGAAACCCTGTAACTCTGATGGATGTTAGCAGGACTCAGCTGGTTTTTGCAGAGTGCTGACAAAGGGTCCTTTTCACGGGAAGCAGGTGGGCTGGCTCCGGACTTGTAGGATAAGGATCCATTATTCCGACCATAAGGGCCACGACTGGAGGGAAACCAAAACAGTTAAAGCATATTGGATTATCCTCATCATGCAACTCATTATGTGTCTTATTTTACACACAGAGTTGTCTAAACACTAAACCAGATAGATAACTGTGAGTGGCTGGGAAGAAAAGTCCTGAAGTCATCAGCCACTGCACATTCTTTCACTGCCTGTGGGGCAGGCTGAATTACGTGCTGCAGGGAAACCTCGGCCATTTTCACATTTCTCTGTGGATAGCACAGTTCCCAGTGATTCCATCAGATCATCCACATTCCCTGAACCTCTGACTCCATTAAGTAATGAGAGGACTGCAGCCTGGATTAGTGCCAAAAGAACCACGCTTCAGCTTTCCCCAGCCAGGCCTGCGGAGAGATGCCCGTCGGTGGAGGTTTGCTCTAAGACTGCTTTCATGCTCCTCAGCAAGCAGCCGGAGGGATCACAGCGTGCAGTGAAAGCAGATTTTGTTTGAGCCACTGTTCTTTTCTGCCTTTGGCATACCGGGTGCTGCAGCTGTCATTGTCAGCGATTCATTTGTTTAGATATAGTCTGAACCCCACTGAGAGCAGGCTGAAACGGTATTAAAATAGACAAAGGAAAGCATGGCCTTTGCTTTCTTCCTTCCAGTTTCCCTCATACATATCTACCTTTCTTTTCCCATTCTTTATCAAACAATCTGTCAACTGTGTGTGCTTGAAAGCAATTGGTATCTGCACTGCCTGACAGCTGCCAAAGGGCTGGGGTGCCCTGAGAACAGCTTCTCGGGGTGCATTCCTCACTTGCTCACTTGGTTTGCCTTCCTGCACTACTACGCTGCTACCTTCGTCCTCCCATGGGAGTTGTTCTTCTAAACTGTAATGAAAGGGCAGATTTCAAAAAAATATGGAAAAAGGCAAATCCAGCCAGCAAAAGAGAAGGCTTGAACATAAAAATTTAAATACCACAGAATTATGAAGCAAAATCTCTTCTTAAACTTGTTTGACTTGGTTTCCTCCCTTCTCTGAAAATGGAACAGTTTATAAGGAACAGATGGTTGAGTGGCTGCTGCAAACCTTCATCACGCTGCTGCGGTTTGGGTGATTTTATAATTGTTTTACAATGAAGTGGAGGACTGTGGTTTGCAACAACATTGAAATGTTTCATAGTGAGTTAAGTCAAACAGTTAAAAAAGAACATATTGCAGAGGAGACATCTCTTTCCACTTTGCACAGCACAGCATCAACTCTGGTGCGAGGCAGAACTGCAGAGACTGTATATAACACAGGAATGCATTTGAAGGAGCCTTACTACAGAGGACTTCTGTCCAATTAAGTAGGTCAGTATGCTCTACTTTAAAGTCATATTTAAATGCACAATAATATATGAAATGATACATAATCTTACTGAAAGTAAGGTGATTTTAGGGCTTCATATTATACTTAGTACTGTTTTTTTCCCACAGCCAGTAACTTTACTTGTTAGATTTAATCTAGAGAGAGCTTAAGTAATGTTTATTTTTCTAACAGTCTCATGATACAGATAGGAAACCGCTCATTAAGCATCATTCTGCCGATCTCTGCACACTGGGGCACACTGCGACCTTGGAGACGTCTGTGTGACTCAAGCATACGGGTATCCCGCTGCTGGTCCCAGCCTGCCTGCCAGCTCTTCCACAAAGGGCAGGAAACCAGCCCTGTCAATCTGAACTCTTTCCACCTAGTCCTAAAAATGTAACCCGCAGGGATTGCGTGGGCAGAGCACGACGTGCGCTGCTCCATCCCAACGCCCCCGTACTCGCAAGCCGTCTGGATTTACACTTCACACATGATAGGGAGAAATCTGACAGAAACCTTCCATGAAAAGTTCATTTAGATAGATGACTATATGATAATTTTTTTTATTTGCATATAGTTTTAGTTATATAAAGGTTGGGCAAGGGTGTTTAAGAGAAAAGCGTCAAAGGCAATATTGTCTACTTCTTCCTAGAAATAAATAAGGTCGTGATCTGGAAAGGTATATGCTGAGCTGACAATTTATTACAGAGAGAAAACAAAGCAATAAGACCAAAAGGTTAAACTTAACTCATTAGAAGTACTGCTGTTAACTAACGTACACCCAGTTGCCTCCTCCTCCTCCACTCCAGCCAATGTCTTTTCTGCCTTACCTGATTGTGTCTCCCATACTTGTTATGAATAAACAACAAAAAAATACCAGTTGAATGATCTGGCATATTGACAAATTTTGTGCTCCTAATACAGCTTTTTTTTTTCTTTCTCGTATCACAGTTCTCATCAGCGTAAGTGCTGCCCAAGTGCATAGTGTTACTCAAATTGTTTTAAAACTCACAATACTGGTATTGTATGAATTAACTGCAAGACCTTACACACTAGTCTATCTTTGCACTAGCAACACTTGCAATATTCAGGAAAAATTGCTTTGCTTACTTGCGAGAAAAAGAAGATCTTTTGCTTCCAGCAGCGGACATATGGACTTCAGGAGCTGAAATACTGCCTGTGCTGCTTGAAGAGCTAAAATCGGCTTCACTCCCTGGCAAGGAAAAGGGAAGAGTGAAAACATGATGGAAATTATAACTCAAAGACTGTTTTCAAAATAACAATGAATCACAAGCATCCTTCCTTTGTCCATCCTGTGTGGATTTCAGAAGTTGCATGAATTTTCAAACATCCCTGAGGACAAACACTGGATTTGTTCCAGATTTTCAACATTTCTTCAGAACTGGCACTTCAACAAGAGCAGAAAAAACATTTGGACACAAAACCCTCATGCTGCAGAAGCCATTTTAGGACTCGGCTAGGAACATTTGTTGTGACAACCTGTTTGCTTTCTCACAGCCATCGATAGATGAATGAGGCTGCTCACGTGGCTCCTTCAGGAGCACAGTGATTAGAAGCACACAATTGTAACTGGAGATTTCTCTTGCTTTAAACCACGTGAAAATACTGTGTGCTGGGAGGAAAGCTGCTTCTATTTTGGTTTCTCAGATGACATACACATACAAGTATAAACGTATAAATGTGTACAGGCTAACAGGGTATATGCATATATATTTATGTACACATGTATGCAGGTTTTCAGGTGGCACAGAAGCATAGTAAGGCAGTTCTAATAGCCTTAAAATAATCCAATAATCACGTGTGGCTCTCAAGTGCTTCTCCAGTGCTAAGCCATCTATCTGATTACTGACTTTCTATGGATCACAGCTTTTATTTCCCAAGCTCTGGTGTATACAAGAAAAACTGCTCTCATTTTGCTAAGGTCAGTAGTAGATGTACTAAGAAAGTCGTAACATCTGGGAAAAAACCCATTCTAAAGTTAGGATTTTTTTCAGTCTATCACTCAAACGGCAAATGTCCCAAGCCATATCCAGGTCTCATGCTGCAGAGCCACAATAATGGATGGTGACTTTATCTGAGGGGATGGAAATAACATTCCAGCATCTGTTAAGCAGAGAGTCAGGGGGAGCATCTCTCACCTGGGAATTTCTGGGTGCCATCCCATGCACAGACACCCTCGGCCAGCAGCTGCAGACTTACCACAAATCCCATTTTTGTTATCTTTTCCACGAGGGGGAGATGCAGCTGCAGCTACCATCATCCCCACCATGGCAGATAAACCTTCAAGTGCACAATCTCTCTTAAATCCTTTGCAGAGCTGATGGTGATGGGCACATCTTGCACCCCTGAATAGCCGGGACTAGGAAAAGGCCTTGTCAGGGCCTGTCTTCACAGCCTTAAAGAGGATGAGACATCCAGCAACTATCCTTACCATCTGGCAACTCTTAGCCACCAGCCTTAGGATCATGCGCGTTCGGATTTAACCCAGTACTTTCCCAACCTCACCAGATCTGAGACCAGCCCCCATTTCTCTGTGCCTCTGGTTCAGCCCAGCCCAGAATATTCCTCAGCCCAATTTCAAAGTACTCAAATGCAAAGCTTAGCTCTTCAAACGCGTATCCCAGGGACCCAGCTTTGTCACCTCTGACCTACTGCATACCCAGTACAACACCCCTGATAATCAGACCCAAGTCACCACAGCTGTAACCAGGTCAGAACCCCATGCAAGTTTGCAAGTTTGCAAGGGGAGGGAGACCAGCAAAGCCACATTGTTTCACAGAGTATTTATATCATGTCTACAGATGTAAATGTCAGTGACCCTCTCCTTGGGGAAGCAAAATGACCGTGGGATATGATGTCCAAAGCTGCAACAGAGTTTCCTGATAAACAAAACATTCCCATCTACAAGACTAAAGCACACTCCAAATACTGTCTCGGTACCACACTACTCCCAAATCTACTTTTCCAAACAACACCTGAACAGGTAATCACGTCACACAGATGTCATACCTCTGGTGTTTGGGCCCCCCAAACATTCCTGCCCTTGCAAGACGCCAGCAGCTTTCGAAAGCCAAGTCCTGGCTGCTGCACAGACAGCAGGAGCCCGAGCCGAGGCTCATCTCTGGTTAAGCAGACCACATGATAATCAGATCTCGCTATCGAAAGCATTTCAAGGAAGCAAGACTTAATAATCACCTCTCCCTGACCCGCCTGGCTTGGAGCGCAGCGCTGGGAAGGGCTGCCAAGCCAGGCACTGCTGATAAGAGTCAGCAGAGCCTGAAAAGGCAACCACCTTGACAGCTGAGCTTTCTGAAAGACTGAACTGCATCCGAGATCAGGAACTGTGTCTGCAAAGCACAAATTAACCTTTCTGGCCCCAATTCTGATAACAGCTACACACAAGCTTAACACTGAGCACAGGAGACTACTTATGTTTAAAATTAGACATGCAGCTATTTATAGGATATTCAAGAACATTTTATAAATAAAAGAGGTCACTGCTAGTATTGGTTGCAAGTGTGTTAGTGATGTTCCAGCCAACTTCACGTGTAGCAGAGCTCGACAGCAATGTTACTAGGAGACTTTAAAAAACATTTTCTCCCATTTGGTAGACATCTCTAAGCAAAATAACATGGCATCTATCCATAAAATATCAATGGCAACATATTCTCCTGGTTAAGTGTGACTTCTGTCTTACAAATGTCTTAACAAAGAGGTGAAACTCCTTGTCTAGCAGCAATGTGGGCAGGAGCCAAACCCGACCTCTCATCTCTCCTAACGCTATCCTCCAGGCTGACAGCTCCCTAAGGACACCTGTTGACTATTTTTGTCGCTGCGACAATGTGATTGCAAAAGCTTGTACATGTAAGCCCCAGAGCAGCCCACCGATTCAGCATTCACCGTGAAAGAGGTTGACATTTCTCAAAAACATATTCTTTTGTCCTAACTGGCCATAACACTTGTTTAGCTCCGATCTGAGACTTTCCTGTTAAGAGGACTGTCTTACTCACGCTTTCCTGTAAAAGGTGCTACACGTTGAGCCACTGGCTTCAGCAGTATCTCATTTTAAATTCGTTCATACATATTCTCCCATGCTCCAGCCACTCCGTGTCACAGCACCCACAGCCTGCTGGCAGGTGACCCGACACAGGAATATGCACCAACGGAAACGCTCGTCCCACACGTACGGCATCCGACTCTGGGAAGCCCGTCACTCCGGCCTCCTCCCCGCCTCACAGCGGGCTCCGAGCAGTAGCACACCCACGCCACGGGAGCAGAGCTGTGCACTACTCTGTGCAATGGGAGGAACAACACAAGGATGGCCAACAAAGTACTGTAACATTTTCCAGGACTGCTCCTTGCCTGGAATGGGTATCTGAGAAGCAGGAGTGAAATCGTGCAGCGTCTAACACCGTCCCTGCACTTTACTGCTCAATGGGCAATGGCACCAAGTTAAGAGCGTGCTGCAGACAGCATCATGCTCTGTGCTGCCTTTCAGCCTCCTTGCTGCCCTGACAGCATCACGACAGTCACCCAGCTCCAGCTGATATGGAGGGGAGGAGAAGGGAGCTTGCAACCCCGTGACTGCGTGCTGCACTGTCCGTGACGAGGATGCAGACAGCGCAGGCAGGCACAGCCCAGGCAGAGGCAGGGAGGGCAGTGATCGTCCAGCAGACATCTGCCCATCTGTGCCATGGGTCGAGGACCACAGCTCAGGGAGCTAACATCGTCCTGCCGCATGACGGGAATCGACTGGGAAACCTCCTTCTGATTACGCAAGAGCAAATTTCCCATCCTGCATGTGATGCAATTACAAATTTCGGGGTGGGATTGAGGAGATGGAGAAAGAGCTGTGCGAGGGCCAGTACACCTCCAGCTGGCACTGGTGCGTGTTTATTCCACTCGTGCAGTGCGGCCATTGCGCCTGCGTTTTGGGTGTAGAAAAGCCCCACCTTTAACTCTGCTTCTTGCGCCACCTCTGTCATAGTGCAAGGATAATGACGCGGTGCAGTGACCATAATACACACTGCATTCACAGCTTTTACAGGCAGAACAGACTAGGTGTGTTGGGCCTACTAGGACAGTATGCAAGCACAGAAATACCACGTCATGTATGTATATATGTATATAGAGACAGTATATACATTTCTTACACAGAGTCACACAATAACCCCACATGCACACCTGGAGTATGGTATCCCAGTCTGCTATTTCTAGCCATTGCAGATGGTTGGATACCTTGTTGTATGGTCTTCTGGCCTTGATATTAAAATTTTGCTTACACCTTAACATTTAATCTTTTTCCGTCCATAAGAATAAAGCTCAAACTTTCTTGTGTGCATTTTATTGTCCGTTTGCTACCTAAATAGTAAGATTAAAATACGGAAAAAAGGAAAAAATTCAAATAATATCTGTGACAGGAACACTGACAGCTGAGCAGCAGAACTGGATTCCCAAAACTCAAGATGCATATGAGCTTATTAAAATTTAGTCTTTTTGTGTGAGTCTTTCCTATTTGCAACTTCATTAGTGTTTCATAGCTGCCAAAGTATATAAACCACCAAGCTTACCTATTGTCTGACTCCATAAACATGACCTCTTTATACATATATATATATCAGTCTTGATGCTAGGTTTTGCATATAGTTATTCAGTGAAACAGAGCTGTAAATAAAACAGTGCTGACAGAAACAGCTTGTCCTCAAAATGTAAAGCACTTAAATTTGCTGAGCTTCCTTGCCTTCAAAAGCATCCTGTTACATGGCGAAGTGACCAAAACATGCATACGTGTTCACCACTGCGATGCAGCAACTAGAGGAGTAAGTGTCACACTATCTCTGCTGATAGCTTTATTTAGAGACCCCAGGGGAAGAGATAGGGCCTGACTGCGTAAAAAATTCCAGCAAAGCCATTAGAAGCAGCTGGAAAAGTAGGGAGAATTCAGTCGTAATGCCCACTATTGAAAGGACTTCTATTTTTAAGAGATTTGGTTTCATTTATCTTGAAACTTTTAACTCACAGCTACATCTTTAGTTCCAACCTTTAACAGCATAGGCGGTATATTTCCAGGAAACATTAATTCTGCTTCTTTTCTATTTAATATGGGTTTGTTCCTGCAAGATTGTTTTTGTACACCACAAGCAATCTAGGAAAGAAAACCACACTGCTCGCATGCACTGACAAATGTAAGAAAAAG